TGTTTTTCCATCATTCGCTGTGTGAAATGTTTTGACACAGGGGACACGCAATTCCTGATGAAGCTTAGGGGTGATGCGGGTCATCGTGGCGAAGCTGAGGTGCTGGTGTTATCTGTGGGAGGGCTTTGTAAGGCTATAGCCCCTGTGCCGTGTTGTTTGGTGGAAACACATGTACATGAAGTGGCCTGCCTTTGTAGTCACAAATTATAACCACAGCTCAGCACTATTCAGTTCAGAGCTGTGGTAGTTGTCTGAGATCATCTCATCAGCTTGCTTCCTTTTTTTTTTTTTTGACTCCACTCTGAGGAGCCCAACTGTTACAGCATTCGGGCAGTGTGCACAGCTGTACCTGTGTGGGGCTGGTTTTCTAACCTGGGGCAGTTTACCAAAGACTTCATTTTTTTAGATGGTTCCCTTAGGCTGACTACATGATGGCAAGGTTACTGCTGAAGAAGGTTACCAAGAAAGCAATCTGTATCACCATTAAACTTTTCTGTCAAGGTCTGTGAAGCTTTGGTATACTGTGCTATTTAGGGAGGTGTACAATCAATGTAAGGTAACGGTGTGATGACCAATCAGTTGTTTCTTCCACATGAGAGAAAGCAAACAAATGGCAGGTATATTCCATGATAAATTCAAGGTTTATTAGGTTCAATAACTGTTCCCTATTAGATGCTACCTCACAATGTTTTATTGAGTGTGGCAGGGAAATGCAGATTATGAGAAGATTCTGTTCTACCTTGTATTGTCATGGTAGTACCAGCTGCTATGCAGAGCTAGCATTTTTGAGTTACAAGTTTGGAAATGCATGGACACATTCTTTCAAGTTTTTTCCTCATATAGTGTTGCCCACTATTAATCTTTGGGGAAACCAGGCTGTGAGGTTTATATATGTGGTAAGAGTTGATGAATTCTGTCATACTATGTGTATTATTGAGTATAAAAGTATTCTGAGTCTAGGTACTGAAGTAGATATGTTCCCTGTGTGTGTTCTAACATACACAGTTATTTTGTTGTGTAATGTTAGATGAAGAATAAGTGTCCTGAATAGGTGTTGTGCATAACAGTGTTGGGACAAGGCATGTTACCAAAAATAAATTTTCAAGGACTCTGCTTTTCTTCTTGACTGCTGCAACACTGTCTCCAGTCATGGCAGTCTTACAGCTGGGAAATCTGCCTGTTTGCTGGCAGTTTACGTTGGCAAAGGAAGTTTGGGAAACTGCTTAACTGCAAAGGCACAGCTTAATCAGGATTTTAATTAGTCTTAAATCAGACCGCACTGGTACTTTTTTGGTAACCCACAAAACTTGGGCCGGTAGAAGTTGTGGGCAATCTGAAGTTTAGGCAAATTAATTTTGGAAAAAGATGCAAGTAAATAGTTAACTGCAAAGCAGTCCCTAAGGTTAGTTTGGAAATTTTGGAAGATGTTAAAACTTATTCCTGCGTTTCGGTTAGTTGTTCCCTGTGCTTGTTAAACTGCAACTACTGTTTCTCAAAATTGTAGATAACCTGGCAGTGACTCTGTTGCCAACCTAAAGTGCTGCTGTGTTGTAAACTTGCAAGTACTGCAGTTCTAGCATGAAAAGATTTACTTTGACCTGCTAGACTTGACTGATGTTGGTGAGCTTAGATCTTTAAACAGATTAGAAGCTCTAATCTTGCCCAGAAATCAGGGTGGGAAATGCTGCAGTAGAATCTTGCCTGAACAGAAGAGGGACATTTGGGTCAGGATGAAGGAGCAGACTGAAAGCAATGATTGTTATAAAATAGACATCTCCTTTCTGTAGAGAATTGTCAGTTAAAGAAGTTCATCCTTCTGCTGTTATGGATGCTAGCTAAAATCCTCATGTTAGTGGAGGTGATCCTACAGTTGTTATAATTGTAATGGATGCAGTCCTAAAGAGTCCAGAATGCTGGAATCCAATCCATTGGCTTAAACTAGGACTGAATTAAAAACGACACAAAAAACTCCACCCCAAGTCTAAACCCCTACCTGTGTATAGGTGCTAGCTGTTGCCTTTCCTTCCTGTGTTTGTGTTTCCTTGCTATCTCAGTCAGCTTTGTTTTGCCTGGTGGCAATCTGAAAAAAACCTCAAGATTTCCTGAATGAATGTGATCTGGCAATCTGTTGGTATGTGAGTTTTTCCCATCAGAGTAATTCTTTCTTTTTATATATATAAATATGTATTTATATTTATTGGTTAGCTGGGACATCATGTGAATCTGTAGCTCGGGAGCTTTGTCTGCATGTTTTGAACCACAGTTCATACCGGTAAATTTAAACCGTGGCATTGCAGCTCCCTAATCTGAAATGAAGAACATTTGTTTTGTGTAACTGGAAATAAAGAAATGCACATTTACAGAAGTGGGTAATGTTTAAGATGTGGATCGATGTGTAAGAAAAACACATATGGCTGCCTACTGAGGTTGTCGTTGCTTTGTCTGTTCCTGCATGTGCATCTTTCCTCTAAAACAAGAATCCTTTAAAGATCCTGCAGCTGGTCTAGTGGTGAGGCAGAGGCAAGGAGAAGGCATTGGTGGAATAGGCAGGGAAAGGATTTATAGTTAGCAGGCTGCTTTTCACTACTACACTGGCCTTTTCAACAGCAAGAGGGCTGAAATTAGAGTTTTTCAGGGTAATTTTGGGGAAACTATAGGTATTGAGCGTGCTTCAAAGTGGTGCTGTTAGTCCCAGTCTGGAGAGTGTCAGGCCTATGCTCGTTACGATGGAAGCGGTCTGCTGCCTCTGAGATACTGTCGCAGGTTTAGCAGGCTGCTTTCCACTACTACACTGGCCTTTTCAACAGCAAGAGGGCTGAAATTAGAGTTTTTCAGGGTAATTTTGGGGAAACTATAGGTATTGAGCGTGCTTCAAAGTGGTGCTGTTAGTCCCAGTCTGGAGAGTGTCAGGCCTATGCTCGTTACGATGGAAGCGGTCTGCTGCCTCTGAGATACTGTCGCAGGTTTCTTTTTTCTTTAAGTTTACATCTTCCTAGTTAGCTACTTTGGCCATGAATGGCCTTAACTTGCTATAGCTCTTTTAATTTTTCATCTTCCTGTCCAGGCTGACTGCTGCATGGGTCTGCTTGCTCTAGAAATCTTTCAGTTGCATGTGGAGTGAAGCAGATGCGTTAACCTAGCAATGTATCAATCTGTCTTGCTTTCTAGCTTGAAGTAGTATGGTCAGACTGAGATCCTCTGCTGTTTTCTTTGTCAGAGGGTTATGTAAGACTTTGTGCGTATGGGAAATTCAGTCACTGGGAAGACTTGTCTCATGGGACGGATATGAATGAAACTTCGTGATAAGAACTGTTTGTGGACGCACATATGATCCAGGATTTTGCTAATGAGTATCATCACTTGGTTTTGGCTTTATATGAATGCCTTCTTATTTTGCAGTTCACTGGCATATCTGAGTTCTGTAGATTTTTTTTGCTTCCTCATAGGAAGACCATGAAGAGTGCTGTCCTCATTTAGGAATAGAATGGCATGGTCTCTGCAAGTCCCGTGTTTCTGGGTGCAGAGGTCTACTCATCTTCAATGAAAACTAAATGTCATGCTGCTTCTCTGTGCTGCCACATGGTGTTACAGGTTCACCTGTCTAAAACGTTTCAGTTTCTTGACCACTTGCATATGGCTGGGCTTTTGCCTTTGCTGTAGCAAAAGAAATGAGTTTGAACTGCATCTTGTGCTTTGCCCATCTGCACTGAAGATCGTAAGAGGTTTTTAAAGCAATAAATTTCTGAAATTTGTTTGTTTATTAACATATTTCTCCAGAAGTATGTTGCTTTCCTCAAGTCAGACCTTACTTCTCCATTCTCTGCCTTTCCCACGTAGTTCTCCTTCATAAGTAATCCCTCAACATGCTTTCCTATGGATGCCACATTTCCCAAGCTGGTTGGGACCAAATGGACTAGCTGAATGCTTAATTAGTCGCATGAGCTAACTTGTTCTGATTGTACACACTCCCATTTTCAGTTCATTGTCTGGTTTGCTTGATTGGGCTTAAAACGCAACATGTGTTCCATAAGGTGGCTGTGTCTTGTCAAACTTCAACCCTTAATTCTAACCTTAACTTAACTGGGCATTTTTTAGAATCCAAGCATGGTTTTTGAAAGGACCTGAGGATTAGGTTAGTCTGGCTCCATCTTCGTATTTGCCTTGAAACAGTAAACCAATCTGAATGGGCTTTGGCTCAGGGAGCAATTTATGCTGAGATTGGAGCGTTGATTCAGTGATCACCAGGTCTTGGTTATTGTTTTGGCTCTAATAGTAGTTTGCATGCCTTCTGGCAATAACTGGAAAGTTGCAATTAAGTGAGTGTTATGGTTGGTAAAACAGGGTTATGGTAAAAGCATCACTGTGACCTCCAGCTGTGTTCCCTGCAGCAAATAATCCAACAGACCTCTCTATGATGAAGTCTACGTGGATACAAAAAACCCCCAACATGGCTTTAAAAATAGCTTTAGTTTGTGAATGATGGAAGTCAAGTATGGTAGCTCATTCAATTCCAACATGGAATCAGAGAGAAATATATTTCAATTAATGCCACAGTGGTCTCTTGGGTAGCTTGTATGGGAGTGTCAAACCAGAGCCCTCTTTGTGTCTTATGTAATACCAGCCGTTCTTTCCTGTCTTGAACAAATAAACTGTCAACCAAAGGAAACAAATTACTTTGTGATTCTGCTCTCATTTTCAGCTTTTTATGCAATTTAAGTGACAGTTTTGTGGCTTTCCCTGGAATTCAGTGTGTTTTCAAATTAATGCTTGTGACCAGTTTGCAGTTCTGTGACAAGACAGTAAAGCATATTACTACTTTTCTTTCCTGTTGTACATATCTATGTGACTGCTGCTCTCTGTGTTCATGTTCCATGGAGCACACTCCCTTTTCAGTAAAACTCAGAACAGGGGATGATTCTTCTAGTCTTTTAGGTTAGATTTTGATGTGTTGTGGGTTTTTTGTCTTGTTTTGGTTTTAAGTGTTCATGTTCTCTCTCCAGGATATGTGAATGCACGACTAGAGAAGGAAACACCAATATTTAACAAGCAAAGGATTGATTTTGCTCCTCCAGAGAAAATTAACAGCTTAGTGGTCTCCTCTAACCAGCTCTGTATGAGTCTTGGCAAAGACACCCTTCTCAGGTAATGCTGCCAGAGACCTAAAGTTATTGCTTGTTTTTCCCCTGCCTTTTTTTTTTTTTTCTGAAGTTGTTAGAGAACTTACAATTACAAACTGGTTAAGAAGCCATGAACCCAATATGGAAAACAGTAAGCAATTAAATGTATGTGAACTTTTGTTAGATGTATGCTTTCATGGTTTCTCTTTGCAGGATTGACCTTGGGAAGCCAGATGAACCTAATCAGGTAGAGCTGGGACGCAAAGATGAAGCCAAAGTCTACAAGATGTTTTTGGACCACACAGGTGAGGCAATGGACTATGTATATTGACAGACAGTGGTTGGTAGCAGATGCAATTGAATGTGCATAACAGGCACTGGTGACGGAGTTCTTTCTGTTCTGTGAAGAAGGAGAACAGGTTGTTCTTCTGTGGGCAGGACTCCACTGCCCAGGGGCCCTGCCTACTGGTTTGCCCTATGCTATTAGAAAAACACTGGCTTGTTTGTATATTGTTGCTTTTGAACTCTCTGAAATGAACACATGCAATTAGGCTGTTCTGAACAAGGCTGCTAAAACCAATAAAAGGAAATATTTGCAGTCACCCTATGCTGTATGTGTTTTATATAAGAATTTTTAAAAAGGACTGTAAAACATCTGCAGCTCACTGTAGCCTTGACTGATTTTAAAAAAACAAAACAAAATTTTGGAAAGAGATGCTCATATCTGTCACCAACTGCCAGGTATAGGAGAGAACTCTGGGAACTGTTTATCCTTAGAAGACTTACTGAAACAGAAGAATACCTTCTCGCTGAAGCATATGGGACTAGTAATTTAAATTTGCAAGATACGGACTACCGTTCTGATCCAGCGTGGAAATCCCCCACATTCCTAGGAATGTCTGGGAAAGTCTTGGATTAAGTATGTTGATATTGGAGCTTATCAAATATGAGGATTAGAAGCCTCAGGAATTTGGCTTGCTTAGGCACAGTCTTAATTTTTTCTCTCCTTCTCCTTCCCATACCCCTCTCCTGTTGGCAGGCTCTCATCTCCTGATTGCTCTGAACACCAGTGAATGCCTTTACCTGAACAGAAGTGTTCAGAAAGTGCGAGCACTCTCCCGCTGGAAAGGCCACTTGATTGAAAGTGTGGGCTGGAACAAATTTCTTGGTTCAGAGACCAACACTGGACCTATCTTGGTGGGGACAGCCCAGGGGCAGATATATGAGGCTGAAATTTCTGTCAGTGAGGGAAGCCTCTTCAGCACTAATCCTGACCAGTACTTCCGACAGGTCTACACTCTGGAGGAGGAATCAGGACCTGCCCCAGTCTGCTGCTTGGAGATTGAACGAGGGTTAGAAGGGAAATTTTTTATTATAGCCACCACTCGAAAGAGGCTCTTCCAGTTTGTTGGCAAAGTGCCTGAAGGGACAGAGCAGCAAGGCTTCAGCTCCATATTTGCTATGCATGCTGACCATTTACCCAGCTTCCGGGAGTTTCCGGCCAGCTTTGGTTTCAGTGAGATAGCCTTTTACACGCCAAAACTGCGCTCCAACCCACGCTCCTTTGCCTGGATGATGGGAAATGGTGTTTTATATGGTACGTTGGATTACAGCCGTCCTGATTCAATTTTGAGTGATGAACGGGTCTGGGTTTATCCTTCTGATATTGACATAACTGTGAACAAGCCAATATCCATTGTACTTACCCAGTTCCACTTCCTGTTGCTGCTGCCTGATCGAGTGAAGGCTGTATGCACTCTGAATGGGCAGGTCGTTTTTCAGGATCTGTTCCTGGAGAAGTTTGGCTTACTGACACGCATGATCAAAGATCCCACAGTCCAGCAGATATGGATCCACACTGAGAAAGTAGTGTTCCGCTACCACGTCCAGCGGGAATCTAGAGATGTATGGAAGATGTATATGAATATGAACAAATTTGATTTAGCCAAAGAATATTGTAAAGACCGTCCAGAGTGCCTAGATATTGTGCTGGCAAAAGAGGCAGAGCACTGCTTCCAAAACAAGAGGTATCTAGACAGTGCCAAATGTTATGCGCTGACCCAGAACTACTTTGAGGAAATTGCCCTTAAGTTCATTGAAGCCAAGCAAGAAGAGGCCCTGATGGAGTTTCTGATTAAGAAGCTAAGTAACCTAAAACCTTCTGAGAAGACACAGACTACTCTGCTGACCACGTGGTTAACGGAGCTGTACCTGAACTGGCTAGGCATATTGGAAGGGGATCCCTCACAGCGAAATCTCTATTTGGATACACGGGAGAAGTTTCGTACTTTCCTGAGCAGTCCTAAAAACAAAGACTGTCTATTTAATAACCGGGCATCTATTTATGAGCTATTGGCAAGCCATGGGGACACAGAGCACATGGTCTACTTTGCAGTCATCATGCAGGACTACGAGCGCGTAGTAGCTCACCACTGCCAGCATGATGAGTATGATGAAGCTCTAAATGTGCTCTCCAGGCACAGAGACGAGAAGCTGTTCTACAAGTTCTCTCCAGTTCTCATCCAGCATATTCCCAAGAAGGTAGTTGATGCTTGGATTTCTATGGGCTCTAGACTGGATGCCAGGAACCTCATTCCAGCCCTTGTTAACTATAGCCAAAGTGCCAGCACCCAGCAGATCAATGAAGCCATTAGATACATGGAGTTCTGTGTCTATCAGTTGGAAGAAACACAGCAAGCCATTCACAACTACCTGTTGTCTCTTTATGCTTTGTGTCGGCCAGACTCGCTGCTATCTTACCTGGAGCAAGCAGGAACCAATCCAAACAGGATCCACTATGACCTGAAGTATGCATTGCGCCTGTGTGCAGAGCATGGGCACCACCATGCATGTGTCCATATTTACAAAGTGATGGAATTATATGAGGAGGCTGTGGATCTTGCCTTACAGGTATGTGTGTGTCTGTACATGCATGCTATGATATGTAGGAATGTGGCTTGTTCAGGTAATCTTGAACAGCCGAGCACTGAGTGGAACTGAACAGACTCATCAGTATAGGAGCTGTGCGGCTAAGTCTAGGAAGAAAGACCTGTCTCTGTTAACATACTTCTGTGTTTTCACAATTGTTTTAAGTAGACAGCTGACTGTGACCAGCCATAATTGAGTGTAGGGGCATGTAAAGTACAAGGGGGAGTACTGTCTCTCTTAAGCTCAGTTTCTAACATAAAATACCTTTAACATATCTGCATTTATGCAGGACTTGTATAGCTATTGTTCAGGATTCTAATTACTTCCTATTCCTAGCTGTGATAATTATCACAGAAGAATGCCTTTGTCAGCTTAGTCTGACCTTCAGGGAGATGTTGGATTTTTTCTATTGGCATTGCTACGTCTTTGCTGAAATGTGTGGCCAGCAAAGATACTGTAACATGGATTTGCCCTTATTGTAGTGCTGAGCTTTGTTCCCTGCTGGGTAGCAAGCAAATCTTCAGGGAGGAATACTGGTGGAGGGGAGAGGTGTTTGACATGTAAACAAAGAGCAGGCCAGTAGTGGAGCAAGGGAGCAATGAGATAGCAATAGAAGTTTTCTATGCCTCCTATAATGAACAGCAGGTCTTGAAGTTGAATGGTGGATTAACAGAGATGGACGCTTAACTCAGTTTCCTTGTCTGTCCAACTTCCAGGTGGATGTTGATCTCGCCAAGTCCTGTGCAGATCTCCCCGAAGATGATGAGGAACTCCGGAAGAAGCTGTGGTTGAAGATTGCTCGTCATGTTGTTCAGGAAGAGAAGGATGTGAAGAAGGCAATGGCCTGCCTCTCCAGCTGCGCCCTGCTGAAGATTGAAGATGTCCTCCCATTCTTTCCAGACTTTGTCACTATTGATCATTTCAAGGAGGCAATCTGTAACTCCCTGGAGGACTACAACAAACACATTGAGGAGCTGAAAAGGGAGATGGAGGAAGCCACACAGAGTGCCAAGAGAATCCGAGAGGACATCCAGGAAATGAGAAATAAGTATGGCTCTGTGGAGCCTCAGGAAAAATGTGCTGCTTGTGACTTTCCACTTCTAAATCGTCCTTTTTACCTTTTCCTGTGTGGTCACATGTTCCACTATGACTGTCTCCTCCAAGCCGTTTTCCCAAACCTTCCTGCCTATAAGCAGGCAAAACTTGAAGATCTTCAGAAGAAGCTGGCAGCTACCAGTCAGCCTTCCAAGAGCCACCATCGTCCCAAGGATGCAGATACCATTAGCTTGGGGAAGGGGCAGCAGAGCCGGGAACAGATCAAAGCTGACATTGATGATATTGTGGCAGCTGAATGTGTGTACTGTGGTGAGCTGATGATCCGGTCCATTGACAAGCCTTTTATTGATCCCCAAAAGTATGAAGAGGAGATGCAAAGCTGGCTGTAGTTTTACAGATCTGCAACTGTCAATGCACCAGAGTAGTTTTGGTCACAACTTGTGAAGTTTCTGTGGTGGGAATATAACCTCCAGAAGCAGAAACATGGTGGCTTCTGTGGAACTCTAAGGAAAGAGTAGTGGGGTCTTGTGATCAGGATTACAGTGAACTAGTCTTGAAAAGTGGGGAGATACAGCTATGGCAGTCTAAGAACTTGAACAGTAGTTAAAGCTAACCTATGGGAATATATTTTGCAGATGTTTGCTGCTTCAATTTCTTCTGTGCTTCTCAGTGTGAAGCTAATGGAGTGCCTTGTTGTGCAGAAGGAATTGGGAACAGCCTATGATTTGCCTTCCCTGTTGTGTGGTATTTGTTTTGGTGAAGACAAGCTTAAAGGCAAAGGTAGTGAAGAACACTAAGCAGTGTAGTTCTCATTCTTCACTTTCAAAGCTAGAATTGCATTGTTTCCTTTTTGCTGAGAGTCTATAACCACATACATGGAAAGAACCTGAAAGGACAAATGCTCTTGCGTATATATTTTGTAAACATGCTACACAAATACATGTTTCTACACAATGTAATATAAGAATGTGTATAATTCTCAAGCAGGAGTGTCTCATAATAGACTTAAATCACTTGCTTGCAATTCAAGGTGTATAAATCTCTTTCCCACAAGCTTTATGGACAAGCCTATACATTTGAATTTTCTTTAGGTACTTTTTCTGGCAATACATTCCTAGCCTGTTCACCCCTTCCTCACATCCTGTTTCTACTATGACTGTCTTTGTATAGTGGATCTTGGTTTTCTCTTCACCCGAAACCAAAATTGATATATGCAGTAGTAAGGTTTCAACTGTTACTCTGCAAGCAGGAACACAGACTGTTTGTATGTCCTGCTGTGGTCCTCTTCAAGCTGCCTTTGAGCACTAGACTAGAGATGTAGTCATAGGTTCCTTCAAGGGTAGACTACGGAAAAGTTCTGTTGGTGTGAAATTTGCTTTGCCATTTGAAGCCAGTACCTTGTGACCAGGCAGGCTTTTGCCTTCCTGACAGTATTGGATACTTTCCAGACATGGCTGCAGGTCAGTGCTTCTGTCTGTTGCTCTGACTTAGAAAATTCTTCCCAGAAGGTGGTGATCACCCACCTTGTGGGTGAGGGAACAAAAAATTCTCTTTAGTGATTTAGCAAGGGTTCCTTGTTTTATTTTTGAAGAAACTAAAATTTTAATTGAAGTTCTGCTGTTTGTGACTGAATCACAGAGGTATTAATTGGCAGAAGAATGGAATGATCTAAATGAAAAATGATGATTCTTGTAATTAAGGCAGTAGAAAACACTGTCTTCTGAAAAACCTCTTCAGTTCTTTCACATGAGTGTATGTGCTTGTCTTGGGTACCTCTCTCAATCTGCTAGTCACTTATCCAGTTCATAGGGTTGTAGAAATGGTTCTTCACATCATTGAAAGGGACTGTAAATTGGTTTCCTCAAGAAGCTGACCGAAGAATTTTGATAACTGTTCAGAGCTCCAGAAGAACGTCCATGCTTTTGTTGGGAGCTTCGGCCTGGAATGAATTAATTTTATCTGTGTAAAATGACATGAGTAATAAAAAACAGAGATGACAGTAGGAAGATCTGAGGTTTTGAAATCCCCTTTTCATTGTTGGAGCCATGGGGTGAGCAGTCTTATTACCACCTGGTCGTGTTTGTTGCTGGCGTTTCGGAAACCACCGTTTCAGTGGTTCCATAAAAAAAATCAGAAACCCCACATGCTGTAGTTTTCTTTGGCTCTGGGTAGCCTTTTGCTTTGAATAAGTTGATGGGTCTGCCAGAAGAATTTGTGGTGAAAACTAAATGTGATGTCTTTTGAAGTGCAGCATTAAACCTGTTATAACTGGCCACTTCTGAATCATCATCTTTTCATGTAAGCAGTGTGATATTTAAGATTGTTGCTTTATAACGACATATACAGTAGCCCCCCACCCAAACCAGTTTCTGGTCAAAGGCAAGTGGCTGCTTTTCTGCCCTTTAGCAGAAACATGAGTGGCAGCTCATTCTGATGCAGGGAGTAATTTCAAGTTATTTATTTTCTTTGAGGTGCTTTTAATACTTGTTCCATCTCTTTACTTTGGTGTTTTTACAGGATGCTTTCCTGGTATATTAGAATTATTGTAGTCCTCCATTCTTTTCCTATTAGTGCTGCAGAACAGTTGCATCGCTAAATGTTTCTGTTGTGCTCTGAAGATTAGCAATATTATTTGCTTATAGACCATTCCAGGGAGATCTGCTCTTCC